AAAACGCTAGTCATGTGCTCTTTGCCTCCGAGGTATTACAGCAGGCCTGCTACTGCTTCAGGATTCATTCACTCAGATCAATTCCTGCCTTTAATTGAGCACAGATAGATCCACTGCCTGTGCGTTTGATCATGCTCAAACTGTTCTGCAGGGAGAACATCAACCACTCACACCACATTAAAAGTTTCTCTTTATCCAATTGGCTTAGGTTTAGTTTCATTTCCAAACACGCCTGCTTCATTTAACCAAAGAATCTCCTGTATGCAGCCAAAAATCAGGCCATTCATTCTTCTCTTAGGGAAGCTCATGAAGTATGGTTTCATTTCCTGATTAAGTTTTTTCTCTCACAGACAGACTGTCTCTGGGCCTCACTCTCCCATTGATCTGCACAGCATTAAAGGTGGCTGTAAAGCTCTGAGCTTTTGCTGCAGTTCAAGGACGAGCGCTGGACGGGCATGGCCTCTATGAACCCATTGACCTCGCTGAACCACAGAAAAAGGTCCAGTTTGCAGAGCAACGACTGGCACTCCCACACACATTCAGCTTTGCTCCCTCCGTCTCTTTTACACACACTCTCTCCCTCACCCACGACTCGGAAATGCCAGCTCTTGCCAAATAGCACGGATGATCTGCCCATACTCATTGAGCTGCCCAGTGGAGAAACAAACACAGTGGCTGACAAAGACGGATCTCAAACTGCACACACATTTTAAGACATTTCGTGTGCATTTTATTCATTTCATGTGTTCAAATCAGTTGTCTTGTTCACTCTTTCACTATATACACTGTAGAGAATGCGACAGTTCACCATATGAGGAAAGCGAGTAAAATTGAGTGTATTCAGACAAAAGTAGTTTGAATACAACAAAAAGTCAACATTTCAAAAACTAACAATCACATTCAAAATAAATAAAGTAATAAAATAATTTGTCATATGTATTATTATTAATAATACAATACATACATATAATATGAATTTAATCATAATAACTAGGGCTGTCAATTGATATTTTCATTTTTCATTGCGAGTCATACACTACACCATTTATCTTCACCATCACCATTTATTAACATGTTTTTTTCCATTTGCTATATCCAGCAAAGTAAACAATCACATTCTTCAATTTCCAAAACTAAGACACAACACAACTTATTCTAAAGTGTAAGGTCGGCTTGCTTTTCTAGTAAACATTTAACCAGCTGCTAAGGCATGCCAGTTTGTTAACATTTTCAGGTGACACAAGAACAGCCCTCTTCCTGTGCACACTGTGTCCAGCGACTGAGAATATTCTCTCATGCACCACAGTTGAAGTAGGAGCTAATTCTGTGCAAGAGATGACAAGGTATGAAAATTTCATATCACGATTATAGTGACCAAAATGATCAAGATATTGTTATAATGTGCTGAAAATGTTCAAAGTACTGACAAGCTCAATGAAAATGTAAATGCACTCTCTGACAGTAGGTAGCACTTATGGAAGAGCAGAAATAGAGCCTGGTAAACGCTGTACATAAAGCAGCGCTGCACTTATAAAAATGACTTTATTAGTCATTACACAGATGTAAGATGAAGAAAATGCCATCAAAACTTCTAAAGACAGTCAGTTCCCTTCAGAGATACATTCAGATAACTTAATTCATTCATACATTTATTCATACAATTCCCCTCAGCACCTGATTGTAAAGGTTGTAAAAGCTCTCGCTGCTTTTGGCCTTGTTTTTAACTGTTGCCAACTTTGTTTACTGCTGGAAAGTATTTAGCTTTTCAAATCCCAGTAATCAATTAAATATTAAATTGAAAATTGTTTTAAATTATAAAGATGTTATGCAAAGTAGAGGAAATAAAATATCCAATATGAACTGATACAATACTAATAATATAAAAAAGATCAGATAAACAAAAAGCTATAGATTTATTGCGCATCAACAGATGCAAGAAAAAACATTGTCTGAACAAACCCAGAGAGGAAATGAATGCTCACTGCATCTATGCTGTTTTCAGGGAAGGAAAATCACATTTGGTTGCAGCTTCCCCCTTCTGTGGAGTCTTTAGCTTGTTGTTATCAGACACCAGAGCGGTTGAATCGTCCTTTGTCTAAAGGCGGAGATAAGATCCTTCTATGTCCAGGACACTGCAGGCAGGGAGGGCTGATAGCTTTGGTTACAAGACTTAAAAACAACCACACACCACTGTCCAGTATCACACTATATGTGCTCTCAAAAGTTGTAACGTGGTTATGGAAAAGCCAGAGACTTCTCTTCAACCCACTCTCAGAAGAAACGAAAAAAAATTCACTAGTCCGTTGCATGGTGTTTGATGCCTGAACAAGATGGTCAAGACGCTTCAGAGAGCCACAGGCTAACAAGTGGTCAGCACCGGACTCTTGCTGTCTCTCTCACACACATACCCTGACTCACCGACATATACAAACAAACACACAATGCCTACGAATCCTGTCGCATAGAACACAGTGTTCCCAAGAAGTGATTTATTGTAAAGTTGTGGAAGCTTCCCAAACAATTACAGTCAGGCTGCTCCACAAGGCAAAGGGAAATGGTAAAGTATGTGCCTGCTCACATTTTCCTCCCTAAAGCTCTTCTTACCTCCAAGAAACTATTTCAAATGAACCATTAATCAATAGCCCAAAGATGGCTCAAGATGGGAGTCTGGGTGGTGTTAAAAACACTTTTTACCTCCACTTCTATTGCTCCTAAACTGTTGCATCAGCTGTTTAGTGACACTGTCCAAGATCGACAGCTTGCTCACATCACCAGGAGACACCAAACAGCTTGAGCAGCAGGTGAAAGACAAAGCTGCGCTTCAATCCAACTGGCAAAGAGGTTTTAGGTTTAACAGGCTTGCCCAACATCTGGAAGACAGTGGGAAGAGGTCAGATTTTCAAAGAAAGCACTGTTACACCCTCTGTCCAAACAGATATGTTCACTTACTTGACTTGCATCGTTACATCATTCAAAGCCACGCATTAATTGTGAGTTACGGATCAATGCATTAGTTATTCCCTTCAGCTTTCATTTTAATAATCGGGAAGTGACCAAATGGGGTGGGTGAAAGGGGGATTTTTAATTAAAGTGAAATTTTGTAAATCTGAACAAAAGAAGAGCACGGTTGAGCCGAGCCGAGATAAAGATTAGGGAAAATCGGTTTTTAAAGGTGCAAGCTCACCGCTCAGAGACATGGCCAACGGTAGAGATGTTACATTCCGGTCATGCTTGTCCCATCAAGCAGGGGCTTTCAGAGGGAATGCAGTGCAGAAAATGAGAAATGAGAGCACGAGAGAGAACCACACCCAGAGGTTGAAAGTCTCTTGTCTTTCTGCTACTGTGGAAAAATGCGAGGTTGGAGCCATAAACTGGCAGAATGCAGTAAGAATCTCTGGAAGGAAACCACTAAATCCCTGAGGGATATGAGAATCCATTTTGGTTATGAAATGCCACATGACACAACATGCAAGCAGATCATCTGTATGTGGGGGGAGGGGGGGGGTGGCCATTTCTTTACAACTGGTGGCTAAAGAACTTTTGAAACAAATGCCTCCACATTGTACAGATGCCAGTTTGCCACATTAAGCCACTTTTTGAGACACTCTGAAAGAGAAAATCCAGAGTGTCCAAAGATTTTTTTTATGTGACTTTAGGGCAGATGCCCGAGTCTGAGCTTGTCCCTTCCGCTCTATTACCCATTCTCCTCCGTGTCACGAAGGTCTTGTGCATTATTCACCATCCTTTACATATGCACAGAGTGGCATGTACAGTTGCATCTGGACTTCGTCCTTAATCAGGCATCGCTGTGCCTGCATCAGGCCCTCTAAAGAGGCCAGGCAATCACTGTTCCTACAGCTATGCTTCAAATGCTGAGGCGGCTCCAGTAATTCTGCCATGAATCACAGCATGAGTCAACCGGCGGGCAGGCAACAGTGAGAAATGGAGAAGTGAAGACATTGAGAAATGGATGCCATTCACAAATGCACAGATGAAAAGAATAAAATAAAAAACGGCAGATGCCAGGAAGGGGAAGAAATCGTAACAAACCGTTATAGAGAAAAACGCACCTGTACCCGAAGAGCTTTTTGATTTGATTTGTTTGTAAAGACGACGAGGTAAACAGGAAGACTTACCAAGGGTTCGTCCGGGACACAGACGTCACGCATACATCCTGCTCCTCCTTTTGGCTCCCAGACTTTGTCTTGGTTCAGGCGTGCTCACCCTGCAGAACAAAAATGTATGAATTGAGGACTGTAGTGCATGTGCCGTACAGGGCAAGACACATGAATGTCTATATAAAGCTCAGATGAACCTAAATGCAAACATGTCACAGCCAAGTCATGACCACAGAAAGTTTAACAGGCTCAAGGAAAGTAACATTAGCCTTAATCTGAAATGTCTAGCCAAAGCCTGAGCTTAGCAGGAGGACCAAATGAATTGTTCTGAGGAACCAAGAAGGAAAGGAAAAGGGGTGTGGTGTATTAGCATCCCAGCACCCCATCACTGCTTCCCCATAACTAAGACGAGAGTTGCGAAAGGTTTCTGAAGCTAACGAGAGCCACCACTTATTTGTCTTAACTGCTATTCTACTTCCTCCAGCCACTTGACAAACAGAAAAACATGCAGGCAAAACAGTTTGATATAAAAGAGGAAATTCCAGCTGGGTTATACAATGGAAATGACTGTGGGGCAATGTGGAAGAAGCGAAGTCATTTCAGGAATTTATGTAATCTCCTGCTAATATCAGGGCTGAGATTCTATAAATCTCAAACGAGAGCTCCAGGGACCCACACATATCCAGAGGAAGCGGTTGGAGCCTTTAAGAGTGTGATGAGCATACCACACATTTACACTGCTGTTTGGGGGTATGCGCCCACTTATACAGCGCAAAAATCATAGATGCATGCATACATGAACAGCAATGAATGCATCAGGGTACTGCCTTGAGGAAAAATAGGGAAGTACTTGGAGGTAATTTTGCTTTCTTGAGCTCGTTCTTCTGAAATGCAGTTAGCAGCACCAAAGAATGCAGAACATCTGGCCAAGATTAAAAACAAGGCTTCAGCTTCTTCTCGTTATTTTTTAAAACACATCTTGTGGCAAAGCTAAAGACCCATTTAAACCCTGTACTGTGAACCTGACAAATCAGGCATTTTTCTGGTATATCATTGCCTTAAGGAGTACTAGTATACATGTGTGCACTGTGCATGAGTACATAGCTTTAGCAAGTCCATACCTCCTCCCTGCTCTTCTCCAATGCAGTTACACTGGACTGCATTTTGTATTAGCAGCAAATGCAAAAGGAAGCTGATGCAGCTGGAAAACCATGAATAAGCAAATAACTCAAATGAAACTTCTTTCATAATGTTGGTTGTTATAATGACAAAGTATGGTCTGTTCTCCCCCTCCCCGCCCATCGAACTCTGAATCATTGCTCGCAATGTTATAGCAGCGATCAGAGTGGCAGCTGCCTCTCCCAATACAGCAAAGGAAGCAAAAGCTTTGATTTGACTCAATTATGCTTTTAATACTGTGCCATGGGCAAATCAGACTGAATAGGAATCTCTTGGTTCAATTAAATTCAATTTCATTAAAATAATTAAATATCTACACTGCAATTATTCTGACACAGCAAACAACTCAACCAAAATTAGTTGCTTATTGACTGAGTGCAACTGATCTGGCAAGACTCTGTAGCATTGCAGCTGATATATATATATATATATATAAAATATATATATGTAATTTATTTCAGTGATGTCAAAGCTGAATTTTCAGCATCATTACTCCAGTTTTTAATGCAACACAATCCTTCAGAAATCAATATATTAATAGATGTGCGTGTGTGTGTGTGTGTAATGTGTATGTATATATATATATACACTCCTTATATTAATTTATATTATCTTAAATGTCAGTTAATCATTTATCTAATATTAGGTTTTATTCAACATGCTTGTGCTCATATATTTCACAATAGACCTCACTGTATGTCTAAACCTGTTCAGGTATAAGTGTAAGGTTCTCTCTTTCTGTTTTATAGATTTCTGCAAAAAGGAAGTCAATGCACAGATGTTTGAGGTCTGCCTCTGTAGTCTTGCTGCATCAAAACCACAAAAGTTTATCAATAAGTTGATCATGCACCTTGACATGTCACCATTCCCTAGACATTCACATGTCCCAATAATTGTTAAAATCAATTATGCTTTTCAGCAGACAATCTAGTAAAAGGATTAGTTCACGTCAAAATGAAAATTTACTCACCCCAATGCCATCCAAGATGTTCATGTCTTTCTTTCTTCAGTGGAAAAGAAATTAAGTTTTTTTTAAGGAAAACATTTCAGGATTTTTCTCCACACAATGGACTTCAACAGTAACCAAATTGTTCAAGTCCAAATCAATGCAGTTTCAAAGGGCTTTGAAGAGCTTCAAAAAGCTCTGCACGAGCAGCTGAGGAATAGGGTCTTTATCTATCGATCAGTCATTTAAAAAAAAAAAAAAAAAAAAAAAAAAGTATATACCTTTTAACCACAATTGTTCGTCTTGTGCTGCGATGCGCCAGGCATTGCGTAATCACGTTGGAAAGGTCACGCTGGACGTAGACAGAAGTACCGCCCTATATTTTGCTAAAAGAACTTAATCTTTCCACTGATGAAAGAAAGACATGAACATCTTGGATGGCATTGGGGTAAGTAAATTATTAGGAAATTTTTATTTTGAGGTGAACTAATCCTTTAATGAAACAGGGGTTCTCTACTTTACAAAGTCCAAACCATAACTAAAAAAAAAAAAAAAACATTGACAGCCAATCATAATCCATACTGCCTTAAGAGCACAAGTGTTTAAAGTGGCAGATGAACATATCACAAGCACCCGTTTATAATAAACAGAACGATATTGTCCCCTGGTGAGAATGCTAATAAGGTTATCATCATAGATAAGGTTCTTAGTATGAAAGGGCCTTACGGCGCACCTCGTCTTCCTTTACATTCAATTTATTCTATTCTTCTTGGAACTTCATCTATTGAGAAAGAAATAATACCAATAGTCTCACATAAGAGTAGCTTGGACAAATGTGATCTTGTTTTATTTTAACACTTATTTACTACTGCAACTCAATGTTTTTATTTGATTATTTTGTCATTCTTTATAGATAATGCAATACATTTATCTTTTACTTATTAATCTTTGTTATTCCCTATAGTCTAATTCTGTTTGGACATATTTTTCATCTGCCTGGATTACACTGCATCATGCTACTTATTATGTTTGTGGAAATCGTGATCATACATTTTTTAGGATACTTCAAGACCAGCTTTTATTTGAGATAGAAATCTTTAGTAACCTTATAAAATAAATTGAATGCTTCCTGGCTCAAAGGGTTTTTAATTATATCACTTTAATTTTACTATAAAAAAATGTAATCCACCAGCACTGACTTAAAGACTAAATATTTCTTTAGGAAACACTAATGAAATTATACTCAACAGGTTCATTTCTGCACCCTCTCTCACCCTTTCCACTGCGTTTTCTACAGTTCTTTCCGTTGGTCAAGTCTCTGTGCCATGCATTCTTGGGATGCCTGGTACATACGGTATAAATTCCATTCTGTCTGCAGAGGCCCTTCATGCTGTCTGATACATGCTGAGCTGGACTGACTCCACCCTCCCACAGAGCTGGGCCAGCTCACAGTCTGTACTGCTGAGGTGAACTAGCTTGGCTGCCTTAAAAGAGAGAAAGAGACAGAAAAAGTCCACGACTGAAGTCAACAGAATTTAAACAAGCCCATTTTCTTCGTATAGAATGAATGAGCTCATTATTTAGAGTTTGTGACATCTCTGCGACGTACATGCGCTGCCTTGTATGTCGAGGACAGAAATTCAATGAAGAACAATAGCACAAAACCCCAAAGTGGGTCACTTACATGGTGGTGTGGAGCACAAAGCCTGCAGCCCATTTAATCAAAGGGAGATTATACAGGTCCCGCAAAGGTTAACTCACTCTAGAAGTCACAGACAGTGCCGAATCATCTCCTTACTAAGACAATGAAGCGCTATTGCTAGGAAGTTAACTGCGTAATGTGTTACTGTGGGTGAAAATGTGGACAGAAGCTCTGGAGGCTCACTTCCTGAGACCTCATGGCACAAACCGCCCAAGCGGCCAGCATTTGGTCCCACAGGACTGCACAGACGGGAAGCTCCACTGTCCTTGAGACAACAGCAGACCTTCTTCTGAGATCCTCCCCTCCCACACTCAAGACAACCAAAGCCACCTGCCAAACAGGCAAATCACTGTCACAGCCGAGCTTCATCTGCAAAAAAAAAAAAAAAAAACCCCACACACAGTCTGTGCGGCACGATACCACACCAATTACGGAGGCAATGGAGGAATGTATGCCAAGAAAAACCACTTAAAACTCCACAAATGAGAGTGTAAAAAAAAAATCTAAATGTCAAAGAGTCCAGCAGAAACAGTGAAAATGTGTAACGCTAAGGGTGTGGCTCCAAAAGTCTCCATGCTATGAGTCTATGACATTTCTCCTCATCTGTCCACGCATGCAGATGTCTGAGCTCCATGCTTTAGTCCATTCACCCGCACCGATCGGCTCGGGCAAAGCTTAAAGTAAAATATGAACATAGAAAATTTCAATGTTTTTATAAAGGCCTCACAGTAAAGCCAATAAATGTCAAAAACTAAACAAAAAGTATTTGAACAGCAGAGACCTTGAATAGCAATCAAACATCCTGTGACTTCAACTCCACTGATATATTCTGATATCTTTCCAACCACGCATGGGTGAAGAATAAACTAATGTAGTAGCGAACGCAAATGCAAGGCCATACAATGGATTCACTAAACAAACATTTCCCTGGAAAAAAAGAAAAGAAAAAGCCACCGCCTTTAGATGCTGAGACACTGGAATCAGGAAATAAGAGTCGCTCTTACTAAATTCATTGAATTTAAAAGATAGCAAGAAAATTAGACTTTCACGCATAGAGTCGAGATGTCCAACTTTCCTACGGGTGGAGATTACCCAGGGCAGGAAAACAGATGTCCCATTTTTTCCATAAACTGCACTGTGCTGCTTCTTTAATGAGCTACTTCAGTCTGAACTTGCTTATTTAAAGGTGCATTTACGACTGACATGTAGTACATCATTTTACAGCCCTTTATTTTATTCATGCATACTGACTTTCATTCAGGGTATGGCATTTAATTTTTTGCAAATTTACACAGATTTATAAAAAAATACATTTTAAAATTTCAATGCCAAAGTTTAAATGTAGTTCAAATAATGTATGAAAAACCGGATGCAGAAATGCAAAGATCATGTTCAGTCATGTGACAATTTCTTGCTTATCAATAAGATCTAAAAATCAACTCTTAGCTCAATAGCAACAAAAACAAGGAAACAATATTCTTATTACCTAACATTAAAAAGCCAAAGACATTCTTAGACATTTTTCTAAATACGTCTGCATTCAGTTAAGTATGTGGTGTAGATTAAAGACGATTAATAAATGAAAAACGGCTTCAACTCAACAACTTTAATCATTAGCATAATTCTGGCAAGAGTAGTACAGAGATAAAATGGTAGGTCATAGCTTAAAATGTTGCATTTTACTTGAAACAATTACTGGAGCAATGAAACCCATTAAAGCAGTTGCGTAAACATGAGTTAAGGATGTCTGGCAACATTTGCTTAATCACATCCACAAATTCAAAAAGTGCAAAAGAAGAATCATCTGGTGATATGACGGAACTGATTTGGAAAATACTTAGTCACTCATTTGATATATAATGGCCTGAATGATTCTGAACATCTGAATAGTCTGTTAGATTTTATCAATTAATTTAATAACATTATAGAAGCTGAAGAGATGATTTGCTAGCTATAAGTTGCTATCAGTTCTGACACATCACCCTCACCACTTGTCACCAGAAGTCATATTTCATAACTTACCTTCAACAGGAGGACGTCATTTCAGACGTAAGAAGAAATCCATTTAATGACATAGCGTTGGCACTGGTATTAAACCGAGGTCTTCACTCCAAATGTTAGGCTGTGTGTGAAAAGAGAAAAGTGAGAGAAAGCAGACAAATTAAACAAGTAGGCCTAAGCTAGAAGGAAAGAGAACAAAACTCGTTGTATATATCGCATCGTAAAGGGTGGGGTCTTGAGGAATTTGCCATGCTCTCGCCTCGCAGGAACCAATAGGATAGGCGTTCTTTCATGACCAAATCCATGTTTTATGTACTAGCCTAATATCCAACTACACAAACTAATATTTTGATATTCGTCATTTGTCGTATAGCACAATATCATGTTGCTCCTGTGACCTGCTATTCATCTTTAAAGGGACGTAGAATAAAAACACCGTGCATCAGACTATCTTAAAGTGACAGTTCTTTCTTAAAATTAAAAATCTGCCCTTTACTTACACTACTGTTTTTCCTTCAGTAAAACATAAAAGGAGGCATTAGGCAATATTTGAGGGTCTGACAGTCTCGATCATCATTTACTTTGATTCCTTCTTTTTACATTCAATGAAAATAAAATCTTTTGAATATGTAGCTATAGTATACGGGTCATACGGGTTTAAAACATGACGGGGAGTAGCCTATAACAATTACTAAATATTAATTTAGGTTAACTATCCCTTAAGGCCTATTCAATGCCATTGACGTAAGTTAAAAAGAAGCATAAATATTATACAACTAAGAAAAACAAGTAAATTAAACATAAAAATCACGAAAGAAATATGCTTACGAGTTTATAGCCTTCGTGAAAGCAGATCAACGCCCTTATATCAGTACCTATACGTTAGTTCGTCTTAATAGTGTGTTAATTTTCAGCGCCTTCTCTGACATATGTAGATTTACTGGAGTTGACAATAAATAACGTTAGAGTCAAATCAATATCGGTGCAGTATTGAGTTTTTCGACAAACACCTTCTGAACGAAAACTTCTGAATGAGGAATGTTTAACACCTACCTACTTCAACTGGTAGAATTCTCGATCTCTGTCGTCGATCGATTCGAATGTCAGGCTGGTAAACTGTTCGACTTCCAGATATAACATATTAGGCTACTAGATACCAATATCCGCTCAACATCCTTTAATTTCACAATGGTTTTCCCCTCATACGGTCTACTAGCGGAGAGCTCACGCCCTGTACGGCTCAACTCTGAACCGAGCGCTCTCGCGATCTCTTCCAATGGAATGTAACAGATTCCATTCGTTCTGAAGTGGTTTCACATACTTCCGAAAAGTTATATAGAGAATGTTGCAACGGTCATTGAACGATTAGACGCCGTTCAGTAAACGAATGCTTCCAGGATTTAAATAGCTCACCAGTGACACGCGCATCAAATTCTCGCGAAATCCTTATGATTCAACTGGGGTACAAAGGTAGCGACATTTAAAAGCGGTTGGTTCACTGGGAACCCAAGTTCGAATCGACCAGGGTCATGTCCTGATCCCATTTCCAGGCTCTCTCGCCCACTGTAATGCCTTACCCTAACTGTAAACCAAGGCTAAAAATCCAAGAAATACATGCAAATTCTGAAACAGTTTAAATAGCTCATTTCGCCCCTTTGCTGAAAGCCACACCTTAATCACAAATCACTCCTGAATCAAAGAGCTAAAGCCCGACTCGGCTAAAATATCGAATTCTAACCCACTCAAACAGCAAGAGTGCTATAGAAACCATTAACAATGTAATTAGTCAACTTCAACACGACACCATTTGTCTACCGTCCTAAATTTCACAATCTTGCCCACATATCGCTGCGTCCTGAGCCTCCGCTTCAACTCCCCTCATACCGGCTTCTCCTCCCGATCAGCTGGCAGCGCAGTGACGCCAAGAGCAACAGCTGACCAATCAAACACTAACGTCAAAGACCAGAAGTGACGCCCACTTATGACCCAACATGAATGTCAGGCCTCCACACCAATGCCACGCTCTGATTCAGAAGGGTGTAAAGCACACTGTCCAATGACGCTATCTGTCTCTGACAGGCGTTTCACGGTTCTTCTAAAGAGCAAATGACTGTGCACCTCTGTGAGCAGGACTGGATAACTGTTTTCAGGCTCCTATTAAATCTTACTTCACTTTGATACATTTCAGACTCCTGCGTAATGTCTTCAACATTTCCACAGACGTTGTTTTATTCTTGTTTTTGGGACTCAAGCTGTGAGCAAATGCTTTTTATAGGTTCATATTCACGTCCACATTATTTTCTGACTTATTAAGGTTGCACTCAGTAATCTTTCCTCATTAAAGGGGTTTTACATAAAGAAACACACAGTAGCTACTTGTGCAAAATATCTTTAAGATGATGTACACTTACATAAGATGAATAGGCCTACTCTATCAGTATAGCTGTTTTAATTTAAATGGAGGGTCCATTCATGGTGGCTGCCATGTTGAGGTCACATGACCACCGGAAACCCACTTTATTTCTGTAATCCTCCTATTATTGGATACTCTCACTTGAAATGAAGTTAACATGAATAGATGGCAGAAGTGCATTTCTAAAATCAGAATAGAATGAATCAGAATTAATTCAAGTTATGCAGAACTGGCAACTGGTGTCAGGTGAAAAAACTCAGCAAGGAAAAATGCTGCATTTCATTTTCTATAAAAAAATGTAAAAAAGATTCCTGAGGTTTCTGGTGAAATTTAAAGCTTACTGCCATTTATGCTATTGCTCATTTTGTGGACAGAAACCTTAATTGGTGGCTTGCTAAATCTAGAGGGAATTTTGAACAAAAATGCAAATTCCTGCCACTGAAGAAGGGAAAAATCATCAGAAAATACAGGCTTTTATTCTACAATCAGAATTTTAGACCTTACCATTCTAAGAGAAGAACACTGTGTTGAATGGAATTCAGGAGGAGGAAAATTAATCATATTATTTTGTGTTATTGTAGATGTTTAAGAAACTCAACAAGAATAACTTCACAGCAAGTGAACTTAGACCATTGCTTGTGTGTTGCCAAAAATGTGCAAATGTCATTCCATCCATATTTTTTGATGTTCTGCACAGTCAGGTCAATAAATGCTAATAAATGCATGTTTTTTTTAACTAAACTGATATACTCCATAACTGAAGGCTGCAAGAGAGCGTATTTTGGTCTTTTCCTGCATGATTACAGTCCAACTGCTTGGTCATAGTTGTAAGGACAGCATTTCCAACTTCATTCCACAACTCTGGAGTCCAGCAACAACATTTTATATCACATAAATTAAAATTGTATTAAAGGCATTAATACATATGATCAAAAATGATTAAATGAACACAGATTTAATTGTAGAGGATACCAGTAGTTGTAGTGAAGTTAATGCTTTCAGATCTAATCGGAGACTCCCTGATTGGATGTTGGAGGTGGTGAAGCAGTTGACGACGCAGTTTCCTGTCCTGTTCCCACGTGGATAACATTTCCTTAAAATCTAGGCTTTGGTTATTTATATAAACAAAGTGTTACCAGCTTTAGGGAAAAGGTCATTATACAACCCTACACTTCATTACAAATTTAAATGTCATAGAAATGTGCTTCATCTCCACGAGTGGTATATGTGAGACATCCTACATCCTGTTACTTAAGAGACTGCAGACATTAAGAATATCTGGTGTAAGTCCTGGAGGGTACTTTCTCTGTCTGATCCTGATTAAGTCAAATACACTAATGCAAGGTCCGGCCAACTGTCTGGGCATGTTCTTAGACACATCACATTGTTAAGAGACTTAAAACAAACCGCTTCAATTTAGTTATTAAATGTCACTCAGTTTGTCTCCATGTGAACACAAACAGTTTGAGAACATGTTCTGGTTATGGTTAATGTTGTGTTAATATACCTGGTGCACAGAACAGGTCCCTCCTAGGACATTAATCCAGCACTTAAATGGATTCCAGGAATCTATCGGTGCACTCCCAGGCAAGTGCCTTCCTGCATGAGTACAGCAATACACGTCCATGATAGAACATTCTATGTAAATTATCTCCTCTTAAAGAGGATTTTATTTCTCTGAGGCATCCTTTTTTTAAAATATATAATATCAGTTTGTCAAATGCAATCTAATAATAGCAAGGAATGTGCCAGGACTTTTCCTATGAAAATGTTGTAATTGTGCATTGATCATGAGACCATTTTAACAATAATTTAGACTTTACATGTAGCTTGATATTATTCCTTGTACTGTTGTAATAGTACCTGTAAAATGAACCCTGTAATGTACCCATTAATTGGCTTCCCATTGGTGAGATTGACTTCTAAAATGCTATGATCAAACCATTCCCACGCCACTAACACATCAAACCAGCATTTCTCCACCCATAACTTGTATAATCATACTTGTATAATCTAACATAATCTAATCCATAATTGTATAATCAACTGAAATCCAATATTTGCTGTATTTTTTGTTTATATTTGAACCTTTTAAATTATTTGCCAGTGTCATATTTGACTGTAATGTAAATCCCCCAACTTTTGACTAACCCCACCCTGTCTTCTGTGAAACAGCATCCAGAAGAATCAGAGTGAAGCCACTGTAACTTTAAGAGCTGCCTTTTGCATAAGAGAACTGATTAGTGGTCCTGGCAGCCAACCACACAAGCGGCTGAGTGAAGACTCAAGCCAATGAGAAGTCCTGCTGGGCGGAGGTTACAAAACCAGCCTGAACCCAATGACTCAGCACAGGCAAGTGCGTGCGAGATGACACTTTACAGCAATTTAAAGAGCCAGTGCTCACCATGCAAAAGTAGGTAAGGGTAAAATACGCACTCTTGAATCTCAGCAGCTGTTCCCCTCCCTGCGAGGAGGACTGCGAATGTTGTTCAAAGTGACACGGCTGAGCATAACTTTCAGTTTTTGGCCGTTTTCTCAAAGGACCACACCTACACACTCATGGTAGACGCAGCATGACTCAGCATAAGCCATCATGTCCCATAACCACACATGACTGACAATGATGAACGCTGGCTAAACAAAAATAATGGTTTGTGATAGAGCCAGACAAATATGACAGTTATGCAACACATAGCAAAACATAAATGTGTGTTTTACATCAACACAAACATTCAAACAATCACAGGATATGCATAAGAAATAGCTCTGTAATTTCAGATGAGTGAATATGTGGAGATCTGAGCCACATCCTGGATGTTGTTCTAAAATGGATAGCTGCAACAAGCCAGAAAGGCAATACCTCAGTGACAAAGCACAAGCTATATTTACATCATGTGCTGTTAACTTCAGTTCTCAAGCTGACGGCAGGGGTTCTAGAACGGTCTCTTTGTTTAATGTAGGTATGGGCTGGACTTTACAGGTTCCTGAAATCGCAGGATGTGATGAAAAGACATTAAGCGCTATTCAAGTTAGTTATTTGCATAACACACACATTGCACCATCCATTATGAAGAGATTCAACAAGCATATATTACTTTACAAATTTGCATTATTATGTTTTTCCATCCTTTTACACAGTGAAATTATGTTTACAGAAGACCTTACAACAGGGAACTGTATAAGAGAAAATACTTCGGAATGGGTGGTGTGGTGAATCATGAACACATTTTACAAAGGTAGTTTTGGTGTGTGAGCTTATGATTGAGTCACAGCTAAAGAAATGAACAGTGTGACCTGATTAAGTTTAAACTGAATTATTCAGCATTCTGTCAGTCGCCCTTACCGTGAAACACAGCAAGACCTATACGCAGTGCATGGTCAGAACACAGGAGAGAATATATCAATGTTGACCCACAACATTCAAAGGGCAAACTGTATTAGACTCTATGGTTTGCAGAGAACTATAATCATCATAAAAATGATTAATCAAAAGGATTATGTAAGCAGCAATAATTCCATTACACATATTCATACAACTGCTTGCTAAAAATGATTAAATATGAAATAATTTTACAAAAATTCTAAAAACATTTTTAAATTAGTTTCATTATACATAGTTTCATTCACATACCTTTTTTAAAAGGTCTAATGTCTTGTGATGTATAAGCGTAAAGTATACCTATAAATGGGTCAATGACAGATAAGAGTCTACACATTAAAAAAAACTTAAAGGTTGGACCACATTAAAAAATAATGGGTAATATATATATATATATATATATATATATGTGTGTGTGTGTGTGTGTGTGTTATTGGCATATTATCGTATTTGCCCCACTTATGTTCCATTGACCATGCCTTGTGGACTCTGGTCTTGTGCATGTTAACAGACTTGTCTGGCAGTGAAAGTTTGAGAGGAATTTATCTCCCTTTCCACATGCAAGGCCAAGGACTACTTAGATATGATTAGCCTTGTTCATACAATGTAACATGCTCTCCTTGACCAGATTCAAAGCAACCAAACTCCATTTGAAAACAGTTTGAGTTAGAAAATGTATATGCTCCCATACCCTTTGCCTTGATTTCTTTATCAGAGTATGTTCAGACTTAATGTTAACTAATCAAGACAACTCAGACAACACAAGAACGTAACCAACACAAAATCTGACAACACACAGTAGAAACCAGGGAGCAGCCTTGCAAGAGAGGAGTCGAATTTGACGTGTCAAGCCAGGCGAAGTTAAAGCATGCAATTGCATCACTAGTCTATCGAGTACAGTGATTAATCCATACTGAATAAAAATATCTGTATATGAATGCATAGCAACACATTTAGAGATTAGAGTCTGCTGAAACAGCTATGACCATTTTATAACTCGGACTCTTGGAGTTGTTGCATCACTGCAGTGCTGGTAATCAGTGAACCAGCGCTGTGTTTTCGAGAGTACCATGGAATCAACAGCAGGTTATGTAATGGCCCTGATGGCTGGAGGTGTGATATGAGCTAGTTAAGCATGTGACAGTGATTTGGGTGTGCGTGACCCACATTCACATCCCAGCAGCCTTTGCCCATTAGGTCACCCTTGTCATGCTGTGCACAGTGAACAATTTCTCCTTCTGAAATTTCAAAACAATTTCTGTCCTTAACAATAATGTGAGCAAAAAAACATCACTTACGACAGACTCTAAGATCCTAGATGACCTTGGAAACACGTCACAAGTGATTGTGTCAACTGATAACACTGTTTTTGTTGTCTCGAGTGAGGTCAGTCTATATTCAAGTAAGGCTTCCCTCCCAGAAGGGTAAAGAGCTCTGTCCCTATAATACACACAAGCACCTGTCTAAAAAAGCAGCCGTCCTCTCACTACACCTGCCAATCTTACAGTCTGACACAGATCCAGCAGTTCGCCCAGCTGATTTTCCACAAATAGAGCCCAGTGTTCCAACTATAGCACAGCTCTCTGCTTAGCACCGCACATTTACATAACCTGGCCGGCTGGGAGGGAAGTGCCACATCGCCAAGCAGTGACACTGCACCACCCCACGGTACCCGGACCGGCTACACCCTCATCCTGAAAACAGCACAGACATCTGAGAATACCCATGTGCCCCGTTGGCCTCTCATTCATATCCAGGGCAATCTTTTTAATCTTCATAGCAGTAACCTGTTATATCTTCTGCAGTGCCCCTCTGTTGTAAAGGTGGGTGTGATTTACCTCTATATGGATGGTGTGGGATTTGTTTCTATTTGAGGAATAATGGGAATAATTTCTCATTGCTGGTCTCATTTGAATTGTCATTTGAGTGTCACATCCTGTTCTTTCCATTTTTGTCTTGCATGACATATTTGCTTAGTCATGTCATGTGAGTTAGTTGAGACACATTACACTGACTGGTTTAATCTGTAACACTGTGGTCAGGATTGGAGAATAGACCTCAAGGAATGTCATTGAGACATATTTGGTTCCAGGCCTTCTCAAAGATGAATGCAGGCTTTAATATGAGCACATCTGGCCCAGCTAATATTCTGTAGGGAATATAGGAATGAAAATCACTAATTTTATGAAAGCAACGGCTCAGTTGTTTCATTGAAAGTGTTTACTTCACTCTCATAAGGACATGAATGGAAGTACTGTTTTTATATGTAGATGAAAGGATCCACTTATGCGTCTGTAAGTAGTGTGTGAATTACAGTAGGTCGAAGGTCAATATTCTATTAGTTACGGCTATCCATTGGTTATCTGATGAGGTTAATCTCTAGGGCCCTGTTTACACCGGTTATTAATGTATTTTGGTAGATCGGATCACATGTAGATGAGGGAGACGCATTGCCGTTGCATCTGGTGTTTTAATCCGTCTCTTCTGTTCACTTTCAACAACTTTTTTTTCAAGGGGAGGGTCTATCGGTGGGTAAATGTATGTTTTTCAGATCATTCGATCAAATGGAGGAAATAAGCTCATGCAATTTACATATGAACAGTGAACACAACAGGAGAAAACAGAAAAAGATACAGACAGCCTTAGCTTTCGTTTCTGCTCTGACAGCCGCAAGAACACTGTGAGTGCATTTTAGAAATCAGGAATGGTGAAAGAACACTTTTACACTACAAAAGCAGTCAAGTCAAATCCGTTTTCGACTTCCTCTGGAAGAAGTTCCTTCTTCCACTTGTGATCCGATCGACCAAAACGCATCTTAAAGGGATAGTTCACTTTGAAATTAATTTTTAATATGTTTTAGCTTACCTCAAGGGCATCCAAGATGTAGGTTTAGGGGGTCCACCCTCGGTTCACCTTAAGAGCATGCACAGAGAAGTCCAAATTAAACATGATTTAATGACTCGTAAATGTAAGTACACGTTGATGGCCTAAGACACGAAACGTGCGGTTTGAGTGAGAAAACGAACAGTATTTATATCGTTTTTATCTTGTGTAACCACAGCCACGTCCAACTGATCTGACGGCACAGGCGCTCCGGTCTACGCATGCGCCGGAAGTGATCGCTTGCACGTGTATGTCACTCATTGTTAACACTGAGATTTCGGAAGTTTTACCCTTCACTAAACATATTTAGATATATCCAAATTGTCTTCCATTGTGATTTCCTGTATATCTAAATATGTTTAGATGTGAAAGGTACAGTGAAAGGTACTACTAAGGTACCTCGCTGATACTACTTCGTCTTACTGATTCACTCATACCAAGACTTTGTCGTCTATTAAACCTGCCTCAATATACTTACCTGGTACCTCGGAACATTCAACCTGCTATCCAGATCTCGTCTCCATTCTGCCAACCTTCTTCAACCTGCCTCTCTGCATCAGCCCGAACTCCATCTACATTTCTACAACAGATAAGATACTTTTTCAGAACCCTTCTTTTATCGATTCAAGCTAATCATTCTCATTCACTTTAACTTACCTGCTGTGTTTTAAGTGTGCTTAATAAACATCACCAGAAGCTTTACCTGTTTGTATCATTCTTATTCATGACAGATATAGGCTATAAAATAATAAAATAAATTGCAAGGGCATCTTCTAACCTTTGTGCCAAAAGCAGTCTTTTTTCTGAAGGATTCTTGGTTGCACTTTATTTTACAGTACGAGCACTTACATATACTTACAGTGTACTACGAAAGTACTGGGTAATAAGGCGACTATGGGTTAAGGTTAGGGGTAGCTTGGCCAAGGCTATTTCATGTGGAGGTAATGAAATACAATATCCAATAAGCTGGGAGACAAGCGCTGTACTTTTCCAGGACCAATACACTGATGGCCATGTGAGTGAGGGGCCAGGCCCACCCCAGCCCACTTCACCGCTTTGTTATGAGGAAGAGAAGCGGAAAGGTGCTGCCTTGCGGACAGAAGACACAGATGTCTGATGTACCCAGGGTACCAAGCCACCCTCCCCCAAATCCTCTACTGCCAGAGGCTGACATCCCAAGGATGGGAGCCAGGAGCTGTGCAGTCCCTGCATGTTTCCAAAAAATCAGACAGATACGGAGCCATGCGAGTGCTTCAGGTCTACATCTAAAAAGAGTACAGCACTATAATTGGCAGTATGTGTTAACACAGTGCAATACCTTGCATTCAAAAGCATGATTTACATTCACTGACAGATAAAGAAGGGATAATGTACAGGTATAATATTATCCCGTTTATTACAATGCTACTCATCAAACAAATACATACCGTAGGCTACATAAACATGCAATTCTGATTTAAACTATGCAATTTTTTTATTTAAAAAAAAAGTATTGAGTGCAAAAGAATCCATCATTCAATAATGTCTTTACTTTATTTATATATCATAAAAGTTATGATAATGACATATTTTAGAATTGTTGGGATGTATTTTGTGGTAAACTGCATACATACGCCATGCGTATTTGTGCAATGTTCTTCCACAAGACCATTCAGCTTTAATATCTTAATATCTTAATATTGGCAAATGGCAAAATGGGGTGTTGAAATATTTATGGATAATTTGTCAGTGTGCGGGATCACACAGACCAAAACAACAACAGGCATTCCGACCTGTAACAGCATTGTTTTTCAGAGAAACAAGTATGTGAATTTTGAAGTATCTGCAAACATATTACGGTATTTTTATGCTTTACTACAGTCAAAAAATAAATACATCTAGCATGTTTAATACTGAAGTGCTTTAAGCTGTTTTTTAATACAATCATTTGAGACACTAGATGGCGTGCATCTTGTTTGTATGAAATTAGAGTTGTGGCTCTCGACTTTTTCTACTTCAAGGACCTCAATTCTAAACAAAAATATTTTAAGTCATCTTTGAGGTCCCCAGGGAAATTTGTTGAGGCCCCCTAGTGGCCCCCAGCCCACTGGTAGAGAATCATTGAACAAGAGGGCGAGTTAGCGAATGATCAGTCAGAACTGAGGAAAGCCATGTAGACGTGAAATGCATTAAATAACCATGCGTACTGCGTTTAAATCTGTTGTGTTTTGGTTATTTAATCCCGCCTCACTGTAACAACCCTTGACAGTAACAGTGGAAACTAATGTCCCTGCTCTTTTGGCCTGTGCCTGGTATATCTGATGGCAGTCAGCAGTTAAGTGCCCACAGATCATGCTACACAGTCGTGAAGTTGCACAATGGAAAAAAAAAAGCTGATGCAAGTCTCCACCAGAGAGGGCAATACCACTGGTAAATGTGGCCAGCTTCTCCTTCCTTCTCAACCAGCCGTAAAGATTGCAAATAATGCGATTCAACTGAGGTAAAATCAAAGTTGAAAGAATGCAAGGTCCTGATCTGGTCCTCTTCAGACAAGCCAGGCAACCTGTCACCCTACATTACATCTCCTGCCATCAGTCCTCCTCATGTCTCTGCCCAGGGGACAGGCGTTAACCTGCTCTTTTCCGAGTCACAAGCTATTCAGAGTGATTAAAGCAGATTTAGGTATGGGAAGAGAGAGACAGAGAGAGAGAATTAGAGCAAGAGAGACACATAATGTCTGTTAGAGCGAGATTTCAACCCACCTAGTACATCTGCGTCATCCACATGCAAAGAATTTGCCAAAGGCTTCTACAAATATTTGCTGCTTGGGTTGGGAAATGGTCACACCTGGGTAGCAGCAGCGACAAAGGTCAAGTCAAGTAACACAGGTGTTGTACATCTGCAGAGTCCAGATTACATCAACAAAACATCAGCTAGAATAATGCAGTCTTTAGTTCAAACTTCAGTTTGAAGCTCATTGGGAAAGAAATGTATCCAAAAACATAAGGTATTCAATGCATTTTCTTAATGTGGAACATTGTGTGCGGAAGTTGGCTTTCTTACCGGTACATCTGCCAATGACGGGTCAATATAGACCACTGATGACCCACTAATGATGTGCATTTCTACCGCGCTACTAATTCACCCCTGTAATGCTGTTG